ACATTCATTTTGGCTCATGGTTTCAGTGGGTTTATGATTAGTCTGTAGTTGGCTGGCTCTGAAGCAAGGTGAAAGGGCATGGCGATAAAGAACGAGAAACTATAGAGACATTTATAGCTAAATGGATGCATATTGAGGCCATACTCTTAAGTGAAATAAATAGGACACATATGTGTAAATATCGAATAGTTTCTCTAATGTGAGAAACTGAAAGTGTACATGAGGATTAAAATGAATAATTCATAACTTGAAATAGGAAAAGGTCCAAAGGCATAGGGGTGGTGGGAGGGGAAGGGGAAAGGGAAGAAGGGAAAGGAAAAATTATGAGAAAAGAAAAAAAAATGGAAACGAAATTTATGTAAATACGGAAGGGTGGAGGGGGTGAAGGCCCACAGGCAATGGGGGAAAAAATAAGAACTAAGATACACCATGTACAGATACAAGCACCCAATGATAAATGTAAACATATTGTACAACTAAAATGTACCAGTAAAAGAATAAAAAAAAAAAAAGGGCATGGTGAAGGAAAGCTGGCCAGACCATGGCGGCCAGGAAGGAGGGGGGAGGAGCCTGAGACAACATCTTCCCAGGTCACACCCACGTGACCCACCTCTTCCAACCAGGCTTGACCTCTGAACAGCAGTCAGCCATGAACTCATCACCAGACTAATCCACAAACCATATAATTTCCCCATGATCTAATCACCTTCCACACCCAAGAGACTTTCGGGTACATTTTAGATCTAAACCATAATCGATGCAGAGGCGGAGGAAGGGGTAGGGTCTGTGAGCCAAGCAAGGTTGCTGTGGGGCTCAGGTGCCAGAGGAAGTCAGAGTGACAAAGTCAGGGAAGGGGTCTATTTCCTGTTTCCCTGAGGCCAGTGTCCAGGAGTGCTTCACATAATGGCAACAGAAGTGGCTCTAGCAGAGCTCTAGTGGCCCCACATGACTGTGGTCCCACCAACGGGGCCAGACATTGCCTTTAAGAGAGTATGAAGCTGGGCATGGTGGTGCTTGCCTGTAATCCTAGCACTCTGGAAACCTTCTTAGTTATTTTCTCATTCCTGGGACAAAATACTTGACACCCACAATTTAAAGGAGAAAAGGTTTATTTCAGCTCATAATTTGTAGAGGTTTCAGTCCATAGTCAGCTGATTCCAAGGCAGGGCAGCTGGGAAGAGGAGGAATAGTCCATGGTGTGGCAGGCAGGAAGAAGCCAACAGTGAGCCTTCTTTCCCCTTTTATTTCATTCAGGCTACAAGCCTATTGGTTTGGTCATGGTGGGCCTTCATGTTATCCACAAAGAACTATGCTAAACCAATCAGTGGACTAATTTAGTTATCACATATCCTTAATCTTTAGTCATACGCCCAAGATCCAGCTACCTACAAAAAAACCCCATCTAGGAGCACATGAGACTTTGGAGGGACATCTAGATACAAGCCATAACAGAAGCTGAGGCAGAAGATTGCAAGTTCTAGGCCAGCTTGGGCAACTTACAACTTAGCGAGACCATGTCTCAAAAGAAAAAATAAAAAAGGTCTGAGGATATAGCTCAGTGGGAAGGTCTTGAGTTCAATCTTCAGTACTGGAAACAAAAAGAGAATATGAGAATGGTAGGTACCCTGAGTGGCATATGAGAATGAATGAATATGAGAATGGCAGCCTGAGTGATACACAGGTTGGAGGCACTCATGGATCTCTCAAAATGACCAGTGTGTTAGTCAGCTTGCAGTTATTGTGACAAAGAACCTGAGAAAAAGATCTTAAAAGGAGAGATTTACTTTGGCTTATGGTCTCAGAGGTTTCAGTCCATGGTTGCTTGGGCTCATTGCTTTTGGGCCTGTGGAGAGGCAGAAATACCTCGGCAGAAGCGTGCCATGGAGGAAACTACTCACCTCACAATGGTCAGGAAGCAAAGAAGGAGAAAAGGGCTGAGGTTCCAATATCACTTCCAGCCTGTCCCCATTCCTTGCCATGACCCAACTTCCTACCACTAGGTTCCACCTCATACAGATTCTGCCACTTCCTAATAGTGCCGTAAGGCTACTAATGAAGCCTTCAACACATGACCTTTGGGAGACACTTAAGATCCAAACCATAACACTGAATGAGAGTAGCAGTGAAGATGTGAGCGCAGATGGGTTTCTTAGTATTCAGGTGGGCACAGCAGTCATCAAACCTGAGCTGTCACTGCTCATGGGTCCTTATTACGACCATAAGGCTGGGGGGTATACAAGGGAAACTTAGCTTAGAGGAAGTAAGTAGATCCTTTAATTGACTAATTATGATTCATTTACAAAGCCCTACTGAATTAATAGTGACTTTGTTAATTTGCCTTTTCCAAAGTAAAGACATCTAAAAGGACACTAGCAATTGTGTGTGGGATGATGCACATTTTCAATTTGTTTCTTCAGGCTCATGCTTCATCTCTCTCCACCCTGCTCTGAATCCTGGAGGCTTCTGACCTATACAGTCAGTTCCTAGGCTCTCTGGGCCCCCAGTGGACAGGTGGTTTTGACAATGGGAGGCACCAGTCAGTGAAATGATGGAGCTCCATTCTGGTATTCCCTTCTATGTCTTCTCACTGCCTATTTTCTAGGGCTGCTGAAACAGAGTATCACAGGTTGAATGACTTAAACAACAGAAATCTATTTTCCCATGGTTCTGGAGACTGGAAGTCCAAGATCAAAGTACTGGCAGAGCTGGTCTCTTCTGAGGCCTCTTAGTCTTGGCTTATAGACAAAATCTCCCTGTAGTCACATGGTCTTCCCCTCTGCATATGTTGGTGTCTAAATTTTTTCCTCCTCATGAGAACAGCAGTCACACTGAATTGGGGCCAACCCTAAGGACCTAATTTAACTTACCTCTACAATATGCTTATCTCCAAACATGGTCACATTCTATAGCTGGGCATGTGATTAGTGCTTGTTTGTATTTTGGTACCGGGGACCAAATTCGGATCCTTGCACTTGCAAGGCAGGCAGCAGAACCACTGAGCTAAATCCCCGGCCCCATGGTCACATTCTAGCGGGTAGGACTTCAACACATTAACTTGTGGGAAACAACAGTTCAGCCCATAACAGAAGGGAAGAGCTCCTGGTCTCCTGCTAGTCCCAGGGATATATATGGTGCCATCTTGTTTTCTGAAACCCTGCCCACATTTCTGCACAGATTATTAATTTTCCTGAACCACCCCATTTGTGTGTACCGTCTGTTTCTTCTGGTTGATACAGAGGAGTTCCCTCCAAAGAGTATCTCTTTCAAGCATTGAAACTATATCCTACCAACTTCCTTTCAACACCACCCCCCATCCATACTAGGTTGAATCCAGGTCCTCTTGTATGCTAAGCACATACTTTACCACTGAGCTGTATTTGCAGCCCCTGTCAGTGATTTAGTCAAGAGATCACTACAATTCCTCCTATTACTGGCCATTTAGGTCCACTTACTCAGGTTTGTTTGATCAGCATTGAGCAAATCAAAGGAGATAATTTATTTTGGTAAAAAGAAAAAAATAATTTATCTGCACCTGCCTTGTTAAACGCAAGGTCCTGAGTTTGATCCCTGGTACAAAAAAAGAAAAAACAATTTATTTAAAGCCAGCTCTGAGGACATGGAGGGCCCTCATCACTCAAATCACTATCTTCCTGTGTACAGGTATGTTCGGGTCTTTTTATAGCAAGGCACAGTGTGGGAGGGAATCCAATAAGAATCAGGCTCAGGTTCGTTATATTCCTTTCCCTTGGAAAGGAAACTGGACTTTGACCTGCTGCTGCGGGTATCTGTATATTCTGTCCACTCATCCAGGCTGAGAAGTAGGGGTCATAGTTTATGCCCTAGACCTGAGGAAGTCTAGAGAAATCACTTGTTTCTAAAGGAAAAAAATATATATAACTTTTAAAGGTACATTTTGCTGTAATTTTAAAAAGGTTTACATTTTAAAAAAAAGTTTAAAAGGCTACATCCTTTTTAAAACTTAAGTTTTATTTTTGTTTGGGATGATTAGAGATGGATGGATGGAGGTGGGGTTGCTATAAGTCTCCTTTCAGACTCTTTGACCCATTATCTTCAAGGTTCAAGATGAGAAAGACATACTCTCCTACCAAGCCTCGCAGGTTCTCTCCACAGTCACTTCTGCTTCCAAAGGACTTCCAGGCCCTGGGCTGAGCAGTTCTGCCTGGCACAGCTACCACCTCTTTCTTCAGGGAAGCTCTGGTTCCCTCTATTCTAACCTATGAGTGGACATCGGTATTTCTTCAAATGCTCCAAACTAAAATTTTCACCTGGTTCAAAATCCTCCCTGCCACTGGGATCTGAGGAGTTAAATGATGTGTTCATGCAATCAAGGCATTGTGCAGTTCCACTGTGCACGCACACACTTCACCCAGCCCAGATGTGTGTATGTTACCAGGTTTGGGGTTTCCTTCCAGAGGTGGTTTCTAGGTTCTTCTTGTTTTGAATAAAGAAATGGACAAAACAAGTGCATAAGGTAGAGGTTTTGTATTTATTAAAGGTAGGAAAAGAAACGTTCTGGAGAGTGAGTTTGGGCCAAGTAGGAAAAAGAATACTCTACAGCATGAGAGCAGAGCACCAGGAAAAAAAAATGCAGTAGCACCCAGCTCAGTGGTGGCTGTCCTTGTGTATCCCCCACTCCTCAGGCTGATGCCTGGTCTAGGCCATCCTAAAGATAGCGCTCTCTGGTTGGCTCCACTACAGGGCTTTGGGAACTGTTTTGTGCATGTGTCGGGAACTTTGTAGTTAGATCAGGTCTACTTCCCCAGCCAGTTTGCAACGCCCTAAACTCTTGGCTCAGGTGTGAGAGTGTGGGGTGGGTAAGACCCTTTCCTACTGCTCACCTTTTCAGAGAACTCAAGATGGCTAGGGAGGGAGACGCCCACTGCGGCGGGAACTGCAAAGTGAGATTCTCTGGGAGATAGTGTGGCTCCCTACACCTCCATTCTTTCAGGTTCGTGGAAGGGGGCTGGGGATGTAGTTCAATAATGGAGCACATGCCTAACAAGTGGGAGACTGTGGGTTTGATCCTCGGCATCCCCCAGCCACTTGATAGGCTCAGAGGTTAATTGTAAGCATTTCCATCGATAGGGCCCGCTGCCTTACCCCTTACCCCCCGCCCCCCGCCTCTTTCTTTGGAAACATCTCAGTGCTTACAACCGCCTTACTGAGGATGTGCTTTTCACTAGAGTAAAACGCCGGTTTCCAGACATGCCCAGGCAGCCGGGAGGCAGAAGATTGGGCTTCCCAGCAACCACACGTTCGCGCCGGCGCTCCTAACCCAGTTGGCAGCCCAGCGCGTGCGCACTGGGTCTCGCCCCGCGGCTGGGGCGGATCTTCCGGTGGGCGCGAGCGTCACGCCGAACACGTCTCATCCCTGGGAGGCTGGCGGCAGGACCGTTGCGACTTGGTTTACGCGTGGGGCAACCACGCTGCCCAGGGTGAGTGTTAGACAGCCCGGCTGACTGGGGGTGAGGGTGTCTGGTCCGGCTGGGGCACCTTCGGGGATCGCAGCCCCGCAACCCCAGCCTCTGGCCTCCCTGACGAAGCCCGGCGGTAACGCCGGTCGCGCTGTTTCCGGCGGTTCACCTGTGGGCGGAAGTGACGTCGCGGGGCGTGCCCACCTTAGCGACGGGTTAGAGTCGTGGGGTTGCTGGCGAGTAGGGCTCCCGGAGCGGCGGGAGGCCGCTGTTAGGTCTCCGTTACACTCCCGGGGGTGCTTGGAAGACAGTCGGGTGGCGTCTGTCGTGGGCCTACGGCCGACTCGACCTGTGGACGACGAAGTGCAGAGCGGTTGTCGCCTGCCAGTGCTCTGACCTGGTTTCCCATCGCATCATCCTCCCTTACGCCACCTTGGCTCACGCAGTCATTCTCCCGGAGCATCTCCCAGTGTCGCCTCCTCGTTCCCTCTGCAGCTTGTCACCGGTACTGTAACCCAGCTGGGCTTTTATAGACACAAATTGGGCCATGCCAAAGTCATTGTGTTGGAGTGAGATGCAGGCTCATGCTTTTCAGACCGTGCGACCTGGCTCCTCTGCCTTCCCCTGCTCAGTTAGCCTCGGAACCAAAACCCAGTTGCCCTGACCACGAAGCCCGGTGCTCCAGGAGGAGGACAGTGAAGGGACAGCTGCCCCGATAACGAAGCTTAGCCACGTACTATACGATGCTCTTAAGATTTACACCACAGAGCGAGGATTCATCGGCTGACTGAAAGGAAAATATTCCCTTTTCCCCCCTAGCATTCTACGTTCCCAAATTCACCAAGTCTTTAGCACTCCACTGTCTCATTGCGAGGTGTTCACTCTGGCCTGATCAAAGCCAATTTTTTTTTTTCGTACCGGGGATCTAAACCCTATTCTTGCTGCACATGCTGCCTCTAATGTTACTTCATCAGCGAGGCCTCATCAGCCTCACACCTACCTCTATGACTTCAATTAGTTTTCTCTTATTTTGTCATAAAGAACTCTGTATTTTCCTCTTGAGCAGTCACGGTAATTGTGTCTGTTGGGACAGGAACTAATTTGCCTAGTACATTGCCTGGTGTAATTGTGGAATGCATGATTTATTTCCCTTCTGAAACATTCTGATGAAAGCCTTCTGGTTTCTTGTGCTTAGCGACTTCTTTCTCCAATTTCCAGCCCCTTCTGGCTCCCCCCGCCCCTCAGCTTTAACTTCTGTCCTGAGTATCTTCAATTTGGGGCCCTTTTGTTCTACCACTTGTATTCTGAAGATCCCCGGTAGTACACTTTCCCAGATCTGCTTATTACCGGAGGAGGTAGTTATACAGTGTTGCGGTGTATGGCTTTGGGGGAGCCAATCGCAGGCAACCCTCAATGTTTGTTTCCCATCAACTCCTTTTGTCTTCTGACAGACATTTGTTCTAGTCTCCTCTTCTCCAGCCCCATCCCAATTTTGTCCCCGAACTCAGGAACCGCCCAGGTTTCCTACTTTGGGGGACATTTTCTCTATGGTCCACTTGAGTTTCCCTCTGTACCTACACAGATTTGGGTATGTCAGGGGTCTCCATTCTGCCACTGTCAGAGAAAGATGTGTCATACCTTCTGGTCTCTTCTACTCTGTACTGTCCCCTGGCACTGCTCAGCTTTCTGTGTAGGTCATCTCCCCATGCCCACTTCAGCCATGGCATTTTCTACTCTTCCTCCCACATCTTCCCACCCACATCCCAGCAAACACATTGTTACCTCATCACTCCAGCTGTCTCCCCTCCACAGCCAAGCTCCTTAAAGGCATGGGCCACCCGGGGTGGCCTTCATTGTCTCATCTCCTGCTGACTTCATAACCCACTACAGTCTGTTTTTGTCTCTGTTGCTCCATTGAAACTTCTTTTAATTAGATAACAAATGACCTGCTGGTGTCCAGTTTCAATGGATCCTTTCTGGTTTCCTTATGTGAACATGCTGTTATTTTCCATTTTTAATCATTCCTTCTGTTTCTTTTATTATTAGTTTTCCCCCAAACTTCATTATTTTTAACCTTGTCTTTATACTGCAATACTAATAGTCTTGGCTGAATTGACATTTTTTAACTTAAAAATAAACCCTTGTGTGTGTGCAAATAAGAAAAACAACAGAAAAGGCTCTGAAAAAGGTTCTGAAGCAGAATTCTGCCCCTTCTGTTGGAAAGGGAGACTAAGCTGAGCCTTTCTCCTGCCCCTGCGATGTTCACCTCTAACTTTTTTGGTGTTACCCTCTTCTCTCCAGATTCATGATCCCTGGCAAGGGTAGACCCTTGGAAACCTCGGAGCTGCTTCTCCTGCTGGGCCACCCACATCCCACACAGACCTTTCATTTGAGCTCAGATTTTCATTCTGACTGAATGCTGCGCCAGTATTGGTGACTTACAGACTCTTTGCCAAGTATGCCCTTTCTGCTTCCCTTCTTTCCACAAGTCTCACTTTTGTGTCTGAATTCACTGGTGACTCATTTACCCAGATCAAACTTTATTTTAGACCCTTCTGTGGATCTCCTTTCCACAGATATTGAGCACTGCCTCGGTATCAGCCCGTGGGCCAGGGATTCAGACCTTAGAGCACACACAGTTGTTTCTTGGCCCCAGACACTGCACTGCTCTCACTTCTGAGTTGATACTTGTCAATAACCCTCCTTGCTGCCCTTCTACTCCAGTAGAAAATTGAGCCTCTTGAGGGGCAAGTGGTGCTCAGTTCTCCACATCTTTGTTCCCCAGTGTTTGGTTGCTAGGACTGTTTTTAATGTGGAATGTGTGGGTTGAGGAAGGAGCATGTGGTCATTTCATAGAAATAAAATTTCAGCACTGAAAGGAACCTTAGTTTATTGACAGTTACCTAAAAGGCAAGGTTGTCTCTTGAGTATTGCGTTGCTTTAATATATTTATTAGATGCGATGCTGTTGATGCAGGAATATGTTCTCCCCCCAGCAGTTCTGGATGATGAGATGTATCCCTATGTATCTCTATGGTATCCTCCGCCACCTTTTACAAGTTTGTATGTACTGTACCTTTTCAGATCCTTTTGTGTGCATTTCATACAGATGCACAAACACTTCAATAAATGCACTCATACTATGTCCACTGCTTTTATCACTTGGCGTGGCTTTTATGATGAGTGCCACAGAAAATACTTAATGGCTACATGAGATTATTAAAACATGCTGAGTAAGCACCTGTCTTCCTCCATGCTAGCCATGTGTAAGTAGAGACAGTCTCTTTCACCTTTGTGGTGGAGTGAAGGCAGTATGCGTTCAGTAGAAACTGTACTTTGAATTTTGCTCTTTTCCCAGGAGAACAATATGCTGTGTGATCCTCTTACAGCATTGGGGGACAGCAGGGAGCTACTGATCCATTCAGTTGCATGGTCACAGGCCTGCTGAGAAAGCTATCACCCAAGTCTTTGCAGGGTGCTGTGGTCCTCTAGAGTAAATACTTGGAACTGGAATTGCTGGGCAGAGGCCTGGAGAATTTTACATCTTGACAGCCACTGCTAAATTGTCCTCAGAGGGGCTAATTGGCTCACCCCTGCCCAGCATGTGACTTCTGGTGTATATCAGACATTATGCCTGCCAATGTGAGGGTTGAGGAGTTATATTGTATATCGAAAGAGAGTTATTTTTGAGAATATTTTAATGAATCGTTCAGAGATTCTGATTTGCTCGAAGGTCCTGTTCACTGGATAGATACTCAGCCTAAGCGTCAGATTCACAGTGGAGTTCTCTCCTTACATCACTGACCCTCTGTGTTAGATGACTGTGCCACTCCAGTGTAAATGATTTGTGCCACAGGAAAGACAGTAGCCAAACCACTGCAGCTCTTTTGGAACAGTCCCTGGATCTTGGAATTGTGTTGCTTCTATTCTGTGGCTTCTCAGCTGGCTACTGGCCTGTCCTTTGTTGATGCTACTGCATTTCTTCATTTGGTTGACTTTTCTTATTTATTATCAGAAGACATATAATTTGGGTCTCTTAGGAAATTAGTACTTGGAAACTTGAATTTATATAAGCAGAAGATTATATCACCTGATGATTTGAGAAATCGGTACATTAATTATGAAATACTTAGGAAATTCTGTAATGATCAATATAGACAAGAGCTTCACCACATTTTTACCTTTTCTGTTCAGATAGTCTGTGAAGGATGCCAAGTGAAGGGAGCCGCCACTCCTGTCAAACTCAGGAGCAGGAGCATTCACAGAGTCCGCCTGTCAGAGCTGATGAAGATACAACTGGGGAGCAGGAGCATGGAGGTGCTGTGGAGGTGGGGAAGCAACTGGCCTCTCCTCCCTCTGACTGTGGGCCGTCCACCTCTGCCGAGGGGTGCACATCAGCAGCCATGAGGAGAGGCCCGACCCTGGTGCACATCGACAGACATCAGATCCCCGCAGTGGAGCGGAATGCACAGGCCCTAGAGCTGCAGGGCCTGGGTGTGGACGTCTATGACCAGACCGTGCTGGAGCAGGGTGTGCTTCAGCAGGTGGACAGCGCCCTGCACGAGGCCAGTCGAGCAGCCCAGCTTGCAGATGCTGAGAAGGAGTACCAGTCTGTCTTGGATGACCTCATGTGAGTGTGGCCTGACCTCCCTTTCAGAATTTGTGTGTAAACATGGTAGGGAAATTAAGGTAAGAGAGAGCTATAATATTCCTGAGATTTAGGAGATTTATAGAAGCTCTTAATTCAGGAGACAGAGGAAGTGAGTACAGCCCTCCCCTCAGGAGCAGCATTGTTGGAGGGCTCAGTCTGGCTCACCAAGGCACATATTGTGCTTGTGTAGCATCCTGAAGAGAGGGCTGTCCTGGAGGCCTGTGGACTCATGGGCAGGTGGCCTCAGGAGAAGGGTGCCCCAGCTTCGGAGTTCTCTGCTTGAGATACTGGAAGCACATACTGCCTCCACATCACATTTTTCTCTGTCCTGTAGTTTCTACCTAGCTTGCTGTCCTCAAGCTGAGTGTTCGGTCCCTTGGTAGTTTTTCAGATTTGGATTTCTAAAAATAAAGGGAAAGAACTTTTTCCCCTTCCTTTCTTCTATCTTGCTTTGACTGTAAGGAGAGATGAAGTTCCATGGAGAACTTTGTGTCACAGAGCAGACATAGTGCCTGGATGGGGACAGGTGGACCCGGCCAGGCTGGGTGAGGACAGGGGTGGGGAGGTGGTAAGGGTGAGCCCATTTGTCCTTGCCACTGGGTTTTGTTCTGGACGGGGTCAAGGAAATGAGAGAGAGAAGCTGAGGCCTGGGCTGGATGTGGCTGGGAACGGGGGTTGTAGAGCTGGTGGCTACCCATAGTACAGGTGGCTTTTGGCATGTAAAGGACTTGCTTTCTGCTAATGGTTCCCTGCTGTGTCCTTCTAGTCTCTTATTTTGTTGTTGGCCTTCTGAGCAGCAAATGCTCTAGTGTAGTTACAATGTGACTTTGAGTGTAGAGGGCCCCAGGTCCTAATAATGACCCATCTTTTACTGTGATCTTGGAATGTGTCCACTTCTACAGTGGTGACAGAAGAGAATACTGTAGAGGCTCAGGCAGGGTGACACTATGTGACGGTGTCATTTGGTGCCTTAAATGGCCAATAACTTGCATTGTTTATCCTGAAATCCACAAAAGGTATAAAGAGGAAATTATAGAAATGTCCAGAAGACTGAATTTGTATTTTGGAAATTGTGAACTATTAACTCTGTGGTGTTTGTTTTAAGAGTAATTTATTTTAAATTGATTTTCTTTCCCTTCACACCACAAAGTTTAACGCTATAGTAAATGAATCTTCCAGTTGTATGAAAGAAAAGTACTGTCACAGATGTATGATTTATATAAGAAAATGTGTAAGTGCTTCTGAGACTTTTTCAAACTTTGAAAAGCTTCCATAGTAGGTTTTAAAAGCCTGTGTATACGTTTCTTCATGTAAAAGGACAATTTATTGTACATTGTTCTAGCGTAGTGTTTTGAATAAAATAGACACTTAAAAAAATACTTGTATGGTGTGGTCTGCAAGGGGTGGTGGAGCAAGCTTTTCCTAGCAGTTGGGAGGCTGAGGCAGTAGGATTGCTGCAAGTTCTCAAACCACCCCACCCTCCAAATTCCTTGTAGAAGGAGTGAATCTGTTTAAAAGTGGGAATGAACTGATTTAAATTAGCCAGAGAAGAAAAATGTTAGTAATTATCTTAAACTTTTAACCTATTTGTGGACAATAAGAATGTATATTCTCATTTAATTTTTCTCATTTTTTAGTTCATAAGAAGTAAAAGAAACATGTTTTTAGCATTTTTCTCTTTATATTGCACTATAAAAATGTTACTGTAGGGCTGGGGATTTAGCTCAGTGGTGCCACCGCCTGCCTTGCAGGCGTAAGGTCCCGAGTTCGATCCCCAGTACTAAAAAAAAATGTTACTGTAGTGGGAAATAGACAATTTATCTTATTTTTCAGGTCATGTATGACATCTCTGAGGCAAATCAATAAAATTATTGAACAACTTAGCCCTCAAGCTGCTACCAACAGAGACATCAACAGGAAACTAGATTCTGTAAAACGACAGAAATATAATAAGGTGATTCCAAATCATGCATTGACTTGCTTTTATGTATTTAATTTGTCAGCTATTTCCGTCACACCCTCTGTACACAGTATTTTTTAAACCCCACACGTGCAGTGCACAGGACTGGCGCAGTGCACACATACACGCGTGCCTACATCCCTGTGTGAGAGTTCCTGTGTGGCTCTGTGACCTCCTCACTCCTGGGCCTGCCACAGTCTTCCTGTCATCACCCTGCTCAGCTCCTGCTAAGCCTGCTGGTCTCTCACTCAGTTCCATTTCCAGTGGACTTTGTTTTCTTGCTTAGCTCTTGCACAGATTGGCTCCACTTTGTTTCTGGTTGATGTAACCTTTCCCCTCACACACCTCTGCTTTCTCTCCTGAGAGGCTGGCCCTTCATCCCTGTTTGGGTCTTAGTCAGCACCCAACCACACTGGGGCAGCTCTCAGGGATATTAAAGATGTTAAGGTGATGTTTTTATGAGGTTTGAAACTTTTTTTAGGGCTTATGCACCCTTTCATGGAAATACCTTGCAGTAGATAGGAATGGCTAGTTTTGATCATTTTAGTTCTGATGGAGTCTTTGTGTTGCTGAGTTCCACGTGTATGGGTGTATACAGACTCCCTTTGTGTGGTGGCCCTCCTTTTCCTTCTACCACCATCAATTATCTTTACCACCTGTCTCTCTTACCTTGAGAACAGCAGTACAGAGGTCAGAGCTAGCAGTATCCCAGAGCACAGAGGGTCTCCAAAACCAGAGAGGGGACATTTGGCCTCTCCTGGGAGTATGTGAATTAAATTGATGGGCAGAAACCTTTGACCTTTGGCTTCTGATAGGCTGGGGTTTCCAGGGTGGAGAGGACCAAACTTGGCCCCTTGAGGTCCTGCTCTAACTTAATGATACTTTCTTATCTTTCTTTAGCAGCTCCTCGATGTTTAGAGATAGACTGTTCAGAGAGAAGGTAGGATTTTGCTTGAGAGGCTGATAAGAAAGAAAACACACTGCAGATCATTGGGAGGTACTATTTATGTTTTAAGACTTCCCCTTGCTCCACATTCATATTTGGAGTTGAAATATTTTGTGTGTGTGTGTGGTGCTGGGGATCCAGTACCTGCTAGGCAGGCACTCTACCTCTGATGGAATTGAGACCTTCTTTGCCCTGTGAAGAGGAGCCAAGTACCCCAGGCCTAGTTAATTGGGAGGCTGAGTTCTGATGGTATCAAGAGAGACAAGACAGAAAGGCGTCTCAGTGGGTGGTGTCATGAGGCATGGCAGAATGCCATGTCTGAAAGTTTTGTGACTAGGCAGAATGCTGTAAAGGACATCATAAATATTGTAGGTTATCAGACAGGAGTGACTCTTTTAACTGATATCTGTGTTTGTGTTTCTTATCCCTATGGCCTGCTGGCCTCCATAGCCCATTGGCTGGTGAGGTCAGAAACACGAGAAGTTCTGTCAGTGTCCAGTGTGTCATGGGGGACCGAGTGGGACAGTTCTGCTTCTGTGGTTAGTACATGTGATGTGAGCTCAGGCATGTGGAGAGCTAGTGCCGTGCTGTGAGGAGGGACTTGCTGCAGGAAAGTAGAAGTTGCCCAAGGAAATTACTTGATATTGATATTACTTGGTATTACTTGATAATAATAGTAATGTATGGGGTTTCTGTTTCATTTTCATGTTACTCGTGATCACGGTTTTAAAATTTCATAGAGCTGTCTTTTTGTATTTAACAATAAATCTCTGCCTTTCTGTGTTCTGTATCTGGTATTCACCATTCAAGGAACAGCAACTGAAGAAGATCACTGTGAAGCAGAAGCGCCTCCAGGCTGTCCTTGGCAGAGCAGAGGTGAGAGTGGAGCTGGAGCACGCTGGTGGCCTGGAGGAGGAGGATGCAGGTGAGGGTGCTGGCAGCAGCTTCTCCAGGTTCATGAGTTGGTCTTGGTACCGTGGGGTCAGTGCAGGGTGTCCTTTAGTCTTTGCCTGGGCTTTGGGAGAACAAAACAAAACAATACATTTGTTTGCTTTAATGTCAAAATGGACTAGGAAATTTTATCCCCTGCAGAATCAAACCTCTTGAGTCATGTGGAGTTTTTAGAGAAGGAAAGTAAATTTTTAACTGTTCACTGAAGGCTGCTGATGCACATTTTGTTGAACATTCAATAAATTGGAAATCTTTAGCATTCTTCTATTGTTAAATTGATAAAGACAACTACCGTCTCAGTTGAATTACATTTTGGATGCTGAGCATCATCAGTCAGCATTTGCAGAGCTGCTCTTGTATCTCTTTAAGGAGCATGTTTGGCAGGCTTTCTGAGCATCCATTCAGTTGTTAAGAAAAATCCTTTAGGTTAAACTACCATGGCTACAGTTTCATTCACATTTCTGTTTTGAATGCTTGTCTTTGGGAAAACCTTGTAGGAAAATGCATAAGCTCTGGAACTAAATGTCTTTTCCACGGGTGTGTGTGTGTGTGTGTTCATAGAAATTGTTGATTAGTGGTCATGTAGTGCTTGAAAAATAGATCAAGTGTTTAAGCTTTCTAAGCAAGTATTTTCTTGCAGCTTGAGGGTTAATTGCTCAGACAAGAGAATTATTACGAAGAACATAACAACAGGTCATGGAGAAAAATATTAGATGTGCTTCAGAAATTCAGTCTCGCAAGATTTATTAGTCCTATGACCAGGGCTTTCTGCTGTGGAGTGCTGTATTTTCCTTGGTAAAGGGCATTTGTTCCTGTTCAGCAGTCTAAAACCTATTGTCTTTCACTTCCTATTGCTGCTTGGATAAAACTGTCCAGCACTGATAGATACCTTCTTGAATCCGAGAATCCTGTCCACCCTTACCTCCTTCATCCTGTCCACAGTTGCTGATGCTTCCTGTGCCTGCTAGAACCTGTCTTTCTCCTGGTTTCCTTTATACACTCTGACCATTCCTGTATCATTATTTTTGGCTGCTTTTCTGGCATTACCTTAAAATGCTGATGTTTCTGAGGATTTCTTGTTGAGTCCCCTTCTTGTTCTACTTCTGCTACTTCAATAGTCTCTTTTATTCCTATGGGTTTTGCAGCAGCCACCTAAGTTCTGACATTGTACAAATATGCAGCTCAGTGTTTTGAGCCACTGATTGCTATATTCTCCAGCTGGGCACCAGACAGCATTTGAGACTCCTCTCCCACTGAGGTCTCTCCTTTATCCTGTCTGCAGGGACAGAGGAGCAGAATGCCTGTGAGTCCCAGTCTTGGGGGCTGGCTCTGTATCGCCAGGTGTTGGCCTTGGCTGCCTTCTTTAGCTTGTAAGTCTGTCCGAACATGTGCAGTGGGCATACTGTGAGTGCAGTGGCCCCCCCTGCTGCCCATGGGTGGCCTAGAGGTTACCTTTCCCTGCTCTCCAAAAGGTGGTCCATTTTATAGGGTGATGGTTGAGACTGCTTGACAGTTCTTTTGGGGAAGTGGGTGGATAAGGATCAATTACAGACAGAAGGAAACTGGGGAGAGCGATGGGACTGTTCACTCTCACTTTCCTATTCCACATTAAACTGAATAGTGTAGGAATGGAAGAAAAGACACACAGAGCATAAGGATGAGAAAGAAAGAAAGCCACGGTTATTCATGTATTGCATGATCCTTTATGTATTTTAAAAGACGTGACGAGTAAGCTCTTAGAATTACTACGTGAATTTAGCAGTATCACTGAATACGTGGCTAGTATATATGTCACTTTTGTTCACCAGGGGGAAAAAATAAAGATGCTAGCTACAGATAAAAATCAAATACCTAAGCTAGGCATGGTGACACATGCCTGTAATCCTAGCTAATTGGGAGGCTGAGGCAGGGGGATTATAATTTCAAGGCCAGCCTGAAGGGCAACTTAGTAAGACCCTGTCTCAAAATTAAAAAGGGGAAGGAATATAGCTCAGTGGTAGAGTGCTTGCCTAGCACGCTTCTGGGTTAAATCCCCGGTACCAAAAAACAAACAAAAAACCCCTAGAAATAAATTTAGCAAAATTACAGTTTTTGGTAGTGTTTCCTAAAAACTATATCATTAAAAACTATATCATTGAAAATTTATGAATACTTAAGTAAATTTAGAGGTATACTATGGTCATGGATTGGATGATACATATTATGTCATTCCACCCAGCTACAGTTTCAGTGAAATTCCAATGTAAATTTTAGATTTTTGTTTTGTATTTATTTATTTTCCAGTACTGGGAATCGAACTTGCACTTGCCAGGCAGGCGCAGCACCACTGAGCTACATCCCTGGGCCCAGATTTTTGTTTTTTAAAGGCAAAGGGCATGAAGAAGGAAGTATAGGTTGAGGGTGGAGGTCAATGACAAGCTGATTTTAAAATTCATACAAAGCTACATTGGCTGAAGGATAGTCAAGGTGATCTTGAAGATGAACAAATGTCAAGATTTGTCATGAAGCTGTAGTAATTACAACAGTGTTTGTAGCACAAGAGTACACAGGCTGACCAGTGGGACAGAACAGAGGCCTGGCCAACAGGTCCACCCATGCATGCCTACCTGACCCATGAAAGAAATGGCCAGGAGTGCTGTGAGAAAGAACCCAGTGACCCTGGGTTAAATCACATGAAAACACAGTGAAACTCATTGCACTATCCACAGGAAAACAAGTAAATTCTAAGCGCACTATAGGTCTGAATGTTAATGGTAAAATAAAGCTTTTAGTATATAACAAAATATTTTTATGATTTTGGGGTGGGCAGAGACTCAAATAGAATACAAAAATCTCTGTGAAGGAAAAAAATTGTTAAGTGTACTGTATAGAAAATAAGATTTCTGTTTGTCTAGAGATAGCATTCAGAGAGTGAAAAGGTAAGCTGCTGAGTGGAAAAGGACTTGCAGAACACTTAGGAATCAAGGGACTTAGATTAGAATGTTTAAAGAACTAAGAACCTTATTTTTAAGGCAGACAGAGAAAAATGGGTCAAAGACTTTTGCATTCTTCACAGAAGATCAACAAGTCTATGAAAGGCACTTTGTTTCATTAGTCATCAGGGAAATGCAAATTACGGCCACAGTGTGGCCCCATTGCTCCTACTGGAGTAGCCAGAGTGAAATGCAAGGGAGTAGACAGTTGGAACTAAGACTGTGGGTGGAACTTAAAACCGTACCACATTGCAGATCTCTTTGGCAGTATCTGCTAAAACTTAACAAACCCAGAGAATTATATACATTTATCACCAAGGATGTGTACCAAGGATTCATAGTAGCAGTATTCATAGTAGCCAAACCTGGAAATCACCCAGATGTCCATTAACAGTGGGAATGGAATAATTACACTGTGGCCATATGGAATACTAATAACAGAGTTAACCACCTGCACCTTCATTCAGCAAATCAATGTGCATCACTCAGATTAATGCTGACCGAAAACAGGTGGACATGGAGCATACAGGGTCCATCTGCAGCAGGTTCAGAGCCAGATATGACTCGGCCAGCATTGCCTCTGGATTTTCTAGTGATTCCTGTTACTTGATCTAGATGCTGGTATTTGACGATATATATTTTTTTTCTGAGTATTTATTGAGCTTACAATTTGTGCATTCTCTCTTCTGTATTTTAGTGCAAGTTTAATGAAAAACTGGCAGTGGTACCATTGGCCTGCAAGACCCAAAGATTTTAGAATACAGATTCCTTCCTGTTTAGCTGGAGGGCAGTTTTTCCTAATGACAGGAGTGATTTCTGAGTGACTTTACACTTGTTGTGGAATACCTTCACATTTTACTTCACCTTTTCAAGTTGGTCCATGTCCGGCAGACCTTTGGCAGTGAGGGGAGTGTTCTTTGTGTTGTCCATGTGGTAGCCTTCAGTCACATATCTTTTGAGCACTTGCAGTATGGCGATGCAGATTTTAGCTAATCTAAATTTAAATAGACGCAGGTGACTGGTAACTGCTGTGTTGAGCAGTGCAGAGCTAACATTTTGCTTTTTGTGTTTGGGTACGTGCTGTTCCCATAGCTGTCTGCTTTCAGTTTTATTGTCTCTTGATTTGAAGTCCATCTGAATGTTGGTGTATTAACAATTACATGGGAACTTGGGAGGTTGCTGCTGTGGGCTCTTCCTTGGTTGATAAGGAAATGTAGCTAAATATGTCTGTAACTAACATATATATTAATAGGCCTATGTTTGGATGTACAGAGTATATTTCTAATGTGATATTTTTTATTTGAATTCAAATTTATTTTAACTGCTACATAAAAAGATAAACATTTATGTATGAGCACTGTGATATTTTGATACATGTATATATTGTGTAATCTTTAAATCAGGCTGGACATAATCTATCTCCTTAAACATTTATCATTTCTCTATGGTGAAAACATTCAAACTCCTTCCCTCTGGCTTCTCAGAATATGTGGTTGTTATTGTATCACCCTCCTGTGTGATGGCACACCTGACTCCCTGCCCTGCCTGTGACTTAGCGTTAGTGCTTGTAGGCGGGCAGCCCCCATCTTTCCCTCCAGCACCTTCTCCCCAGGCCAAGGTAACTGCCAGGCTACTCTCAACTTCTGTGAGATTCCATGGCTGAGTGAGATCATGCCTGCTTGTCTTTCTGTGCAGGCTTATGTCATTTAACATGAGGATATCCAGTTCCATCTATGCTGTCCCAAATAAGAGCCGTTTGTTTTTGGTTATGGCTAATTAGTGTTTCGTGGTGATGTGTATGTATCACATTTATACAGAGTGATATTTTGGAGGAAAGTTCCTGAGAAATCATGTTTTGAATGGTAATATATTAAATATGGCATGATAAATGCTGTCATAAATTTACTCTAAGCTTTAGTGCACTAAATTTATGAGTTCTTGGTAGTTGCCTCCTGTTGATTGAATAAATGAACATTTCTGATGTACATGGGAAGGTTTATGCTGGTCCGCATTTCCATTCTGTTTCAGAACCGGGCCCGTCCTGTCTTGGCATCATGCTCATGCCTGCCCAGAAGACCGCCTGGGAGGAGCTCATTCGCACCGGCCAGATGACACCATTTGGTACCCAGGTCCTTCAGAAAACAGAGAAAAAGCCTAGAAAACTAATGCTCAATGAGGCGTCAGGCTTCGAGAAGTATTTGGCAGATCAAGCGAGACTGTCATTTGAAAGGAAGAAGCAAGCTGCTAATAAAAGAACATCCAGAAAAGCTGCAGCCTCAGTCAAGCCTGCCTCAAATGCACAGTCAAAAGAAAACAAACCAAAGCAGAGAAGCCAGATTCTCTCCAAAACAGACTGGCGCTTGAAGAAGCACATCAGGAAGCTCCAGAAGAAGGCGCTGCAGTTCCAGGGGAAAGTGGGGCTTCCCAGGGGGAAGAGGTCCCTAGGGGCTGAGGCGAGGTTGCAGGCAATGGGAAACTCTGAGAGTGAGGAGCCCAGGTCCTTCCCCATGGAGGGGGAGGAAGAGGGAGATGGGGAGGAGGTAGGGGCTGACCTGTCTGGAGATGGCGCAGACTGTGAGCTGAGGCCTGAGCTCAGGGGCCAAAAACGCCAGAAGAAAGTCCCAGCGCAGGAGAATGATGACGACTTTTCTCCAAGTTCTGGGGAAGAAGCAGAAGCCACTGAAAGAGGCCGAGGAACAGGTCGAAAAGTAGTGAGGTGCTGCGACGATGGAGATGAAGATTATTATAAGCAGCGGTTAAGGTCAGTCTTGGTTGGTGCTAGGTGTCAGCTTAGTGCTATGTAAGGGTTCTAGATGCAGGTGACAGTGCTGCGCCCTATTAGTGGCAAGGTGGAACTTCCACAGCCGTAGCCTGCTAGAGCCAGCAGCCTGAGTCCTCCCTATGGCTGATCTGAAGGCTGCTACTTCTGGGCCTTTATTCAGTTCAGAGCATGTCTTGGAGGAAGAGGTTGGGGAGAGGCTGGGGCAGGAACACAGAGAGGAGCAGAGTGTGAGCCATGTGGCCTTTGCTTGGAGGAGTCACCCTGCAGTGAGTGTCAGGACAGGCAGAGGTGGTATTGTGCATACTTCCTACGGGGTTATTTGTGTGCTTTTGTTTTCCTTTTGAAGCAGGATAGTAACTGCAGAGGGTTTAAGCCTGCTTTCTTAAATCCCCCTTCCTTGCCTTGAGAAAATCATCCTTTGTAGAATCGTAACCACCATCATACCAAAAGTATACTTGGTGTGCGTGGCAGGCCTTCCATTTCATGGTCACTGTTTATGCCAGAGCCTGACCTTGGTCTTGACCCCTGTGTCTGTCAGTGTGTGATATAAGGGAGATGACAGGGAAGTGAAGGTGTGTAACGTGAAGTCAGAATCACCATGGCCATGTGCTCTGCAAACCAGGAAAGGCAGGCCACACACTGTAGCCTCTCCACAGTCTGAGCACGTGCATGAGCACGTGACATGCATTAGCTGTAAGGGCCCTGAGGAAGCCAGGAGAAAGGGATCGCAGTACTTTAAAAATATTTAACATGAACTTTTTCATAGTCCTCAACAGTTTTCTATTTCTAAATGGGAGGAGACCTAGTATGTTGGATTTCTCTTAGCTTTCCACTGGCCTTCATGGGTAAAGGTTGCCTGGTAGTTTTTCTTTTTTTGTTGATAACTGCTCATGACCCAAGTGCAGATCCAGCCTTCTCAAAGGGGATGCACCAGTGTTGCTTAAAAATAAGCACCCATGGCTTAAATGCAGCTCTTATGCAGTACTGTGTAGCTGAGGGGCTTCTGTTTGTCATTTCCTCTGCAACTTTAGTTAGCTTGCACACTTAGTGTCTGTAACATTGTTTGAGGAATATTGCTCAATACTCTTGGACAGTGAGTGGTGTTGGTCCTTTTCTTAACTACCATAGAAGATTAATAAAAGTGTTAATCTTCACATATTGATTAGAAATGGAGCAATATATATTTTCATTAAACCAGGTCAATATTAAACATATTTAAAATATAACAGTATTTTGATCAAGAGCAATTTATTTTGATTGAATTTTAAATATAGATGTAGTTTAATTTTATGGCAATAAATTTGTCTTAATAATATTAGGATTGTAAAACAATTTATTATTTCCAAAGCCATATCATAAACCAATTTTTTTGCGAAGTTACAGTAAAATCTCAAATGAATTTCAGAAACATCAGTAACTCTAATTGCCACCAAAATACGATAGCTCTTAAAATTTTATAGCTAGTTATTAAGGCTGTTAAGCTGCAGATATCCACATTGAAATGTTTGTATTACATCTCCTTTGGTACTCTAGATTGGAGGATGTTAAAAAAAGATAAAATGGTTAGGATTCAGAAGCCTATTAACAATATTTGAGAACTTCCAGTCATTCTATAAGTTGTTAATTGTTGCTGATCTTTGTAGATGATTGAAATAGTAATGGCATTTCCTTGCGTGAAGAGAAGGGACTTAGGATTGCTTATCTTAGCAATTATTTGATGACAGGTGATCACAGTAAGGCCATGTAGTTTATAATATGGAAAATGAGTTTTTCTCACTGGTTAGAATTGAGGATGTATCCAGGCTGGGAACCTTATATAAAATGTAACAAATACATTTTGGTGATGGCAGGTTAGTTATTTTGCTTTTTAAACTCTTGAAAGTGAGAGTAGGCCACTGCTAGACAGCTCATCACCTTTCTTGTTTAAGTCTGAGTGTCACAGGCCTTTCATCAGCTGAGTTGTCCTAGCCAGTTATCTGACCTGGTGCTTTAGGTAGGAAGTTCCTGTTGGGCTTTTTCTACGGTGTAGCTTTTCCTGCAGCTGGACAGTGGCAGTCATGATCTTGCTTTCTGTGACTCAGCCCAAAACCTCAGGTCAGTCTTGGCTGTTGTGTTCATGTTGTAAACTCCTGTGCATTTTCGCTTGCTATGGACACAGCTGCCTTGGTGGCTGTTCCTCAGTGGTGCCCCCTAGTGGTCATTCGGCTGGCCCTTAGCCAGGATGAACAGCTGCTCAGGAAGTGCATGTACTGTGGATTCTTAGTGATGTGTGCAGGGTCTACTCCTATCCACTAGGGTAGGGCTTTTTCTCAAAATATGTTATGATTTTAGAAATCTCAGGCCCAGGAGCTCCAGGAGCCAGATAAGACCAACAGAACTAATGTGCATTCAGCATTTGAGTGGTATGTCTTGGTAAGCACTTCATGTCACTTGCCTGGTCCAGGTTGGAAGTTAGGAAAGCCCAGAGCTGCCCCAAACACTGAACTTTCCCCAACAGTGGGACTTGTGTCCAGATCTTGTTACTTCCAATTGTTGATTGAATGTAAAGGTCAGCTTCCACACTTCCCCTATGCCCCGCTGCATGAATGCACATCCTCACAACAAGGCTGGCTGTGAGGGTTCTGTGCAGAACTTTTAGGCGCCCTGTACACAGATAGGACCTAACCTGTGTGCAGGGAATAGTAGATTCAGACTGAGGCATCCAGAGGGGCTGGAGAAGACTCCCTCAAGCAGGGCCTCAGCTATTGCTGACTCAGGTATGTGAATATAGACCTTGCTGTGTACATTCAAAACTTTCCACATTTGCCCCCAAATTTCAGGTTCATCATTAAGAAGGAAAGGAGGCGCAGCAGCATTCCTCCAAGTAGTGTGGTGGCCATGACCTTCAGGGGGGCTGTCTGCTTGAGGAAAGAGATGTGTATGTTGCTCCCTTGGCCTGCCTGTGCCCACCATCTGACCAGGGGAGGCTGTGGTCCTGTCCATTGACTAGGAGAGAGTGCCACATCTCTGCATGGTATCTGTCCTGTGTATGGGGTCAGGGAGGGGGCACAGCAGCACTCGTACCAGCTGTTGCCAGCCTTGACACACTAGAGCAGAAGTGTCGCTGACTCAGTCCTCTCCCCACAGGGGAGCAGCCTGGGGTGGGTCTCCCTGCTGGCAGGACTTGGGTTGGCATTTATCATTTACTTTAGCCCATTCCCGAGAGCTGTTACTTCTGTTTCCACCTGCCAGCTGTTAAGTTGCTCAGATAAACTGCCCCTGCGTCTTAGCAAGGAGCATGGATGGAAGCAGAGCTCTGAGCCCAAACACTGATTCTGCAGGGTCGCCGGGAGCCCTGCCACTGGAGGTGCTGGCTGGGGCAGTGTGGGGCTGAGGACAGGACTCTGATAAGGTGTGCTCATCCTCTTGCACGGTCTACCTTGGGAACTATGAGATGTCTGTGAGTTGGGTTTTTTTTTTTGATGATTCTGGGATTTGAACTCAGGGCTCTGTACATGCTAGGCAAGTGCTCTACTGCTAAGCTACACCCCTGCCATAAATTGATTTTATATACTTTTTTTTCCCTTTGGCTTTTGTATCGGTTTCTCTGAAATCCTTCATGTGCTCTGCACAGTGGGAAAGGGCCTGGAGAGGAGCCTAGGGTCAGTGCAATGAGCCAGCACTGCACTGGACTCCACTAAATGGATAGTCCTCTGGTTCTCGTGCCCTTGCATCTCTGGCACACAGGAGCCTGGGCCCAGCTATGGTCAGGGCTGCAGGGCCTGGAGGCAGTGGGCCAGGGTCCAGAGGAGCTGGGCACTGCTCGAGCTGTGGCTGAGTGCCTCCGATTCTGAGTTGATGTTGCTGGCGTTCTCCATCATCATAGACTCTTGTTCAGCACAAGCTGCAGGGGTGGGAAGAAGGATTGTTGGTGAGGACACTAGGGTGTGAGATGTACTGCTCTTCACAAAGCCTGCAGCCTGTAGCTCTTTGCCACCCTCACCCTGTCAGTAAGCACAGTTCAGTTCCCAGGCCAACTCCTCAGAGGAGCCAGTGGCAGGCAAAGTTGCCCAGATGCGGCCTGGAAGCCATCAAGGTGAAACTGCTGCAGGGGAAGGCTTCCACCCTGCCCACCTTTCAGCACTTCCATGGGGCCCTGGTGTTAAGACTAACAGTATAACCACCTGAAACTGTGCCTGTATTTCTTGTTTATATTCTTCACGATTCTAGTCTCTGATTCTGTGCACACATATCTTCATATTGTTGCAGTTGTAGTAGGCAGTACAAGCACTGTACCATAGCCCTTGCAAGTGAATCATATTGCCCACTATCTCACTGTCAGGAGGTGGAGCTGAGTTTTGAAACCCACAATAGAATGTTTCTTGCCACTGTGCGATTGAGGGAAGTGCATTATCTAGGTGCGATCACAAGGTGGTGCTGAGAACTGCCACTTGGCTGCCTGTGCCTCTCGGGCCCTAAAACCAAGCCAGAAACCCAAGCCAGAGACTGAGCTGGAGAGGGAGAGTTGGCCAGGGAGTCTGGAAGATCTGACAAGAGCGGCCTATGTGGGGAAAGAATTGGCCTCATAGTTTGGTGCAAACTGAGTGTGTATGATGAGAGTTGCTGTAACGTCTCTTTGCTTGTAAAGTGTTTTCTTGTGCCCCATTTTAAACTTTATTTTATGTGAATTAACTTTGAGTTGAAAAGGGCCTCTGAGGATTCCATTTTTGGGGAAATCCTATGGAATGCCCTCTGATAGTCTCCATGGCTTAATCATCTGGGAAGATAATATTCCTCCCTGTCTTGCCCCCTGAGCACCCGGCTCTGTGGCCACTGTGAGCTGGGTCTTGGTTTGGAGGTTTGGTCTTATTCATGCAGGGTTCCAAGAAGGGGCAGCTGTTAGCACCTGCATATGCGGAGAGGGGACTGGCCAGGTAGCATAAATGTTGTCAAGAGACTTGTGCCTGTGGAAGGCAGCCAGGGTAAGAGGAGCATCAGGT